AATATGTTTATCATCTTTAAATGGACTAAAAAAATCCACTTCAAAGATTTATTGTGAGTATATATGACGTAACGCATTTTGGGTGGTTATCACAGTGCTAGTGAAATAGTAAATCTTCATTAAGTAGTTAATAAGAACCAGGAAACAGTCATTGAATTAAATGTAATTAAAAGGAAATAAAACATGGGTTGTTTTATAAGAAAAAACCCCACAAGAACATAATTTAAAAATCCATTTAAATTGCTATTATTGCTCATTTATGACTATATATATATATAAGCTGTGTCTAAAAATAAAATATAAAGCACAATATCCAAACAATTCTTTAATTCATCTTTCTTTCATGATTCTAAAACAGCAGGGGAGGGGGGATAGTATTATTAAGGTAAGATGCAAGCAAGCAAGATGTTTGATGCAAGCAAGATGTTTGATGAGAAAATAAGTGTAAGAGACAATATGAAAACCACAGCCAAAGCTAATTACAGTATCAGTTGACTCAAAGAAAGAATGGATCAAAAAACTGAGATATATAAACAAAAAATATAATTAATTTTCGATATACAAGTATTAGTGTGGGTAACAAAGGGATAATGGGGAAAGCAGGGTAGGTGTGGTAGGAACAAGAACACTATTAATAAAAGATCAAGTTATGGGAATTTAAATTGGGATTTTCAAAATCTTGTTATTTAATGTCAAGTATATTTTGTAGTATGTGTATCTGCATGGCACTCAGGGCATTTTCATGAAAATAAAACACATATGAAAGTATTAGTAACTGTAGGGGCGCCTGGGTGGCTCAGTTGGTTAAGCGACTGCCTTCGGCTCAGGTCAAGATCCTGGAGTCCCAGGATCGAGTCCCGCATCGGGCTCCCTGCTCGGCAGGGAGTCTGCTTCTCCCTCTGGCCCTCTCCCCTCTCATGTGCTCTCTCTCTCATTCTCTCTCTGTCAAATAAATAAATAAAATCTTAAAAGAAAAAAAAAAGAAAATATTAGTAACTGTAATGATCCACGTAATGGAATGGGCTATGAAGCAGCTTCCAAGCCCCTGATTAAGAACGTATGCTCTCTCTCTTGTGTGCTTTACTTCTCTTTCTGCTAAAGATGAAATACTGCCTTTGGCAGGAAATATTCACTATATCTGCCAAAATTGCACTTGGTAGACAGCAATTCACATAGTAAATATATTTTTATGGATAATTAGTTGATTGAATGTGTGAATTAGAGGATTTTTAATATTCATGACTATCTATGAATATTTTATTAATTTCTGTTTTGTTTGAAATAATGATGCTACAATAACATGGAACCCAAATACTTAACATTAATAAACTCTAAGTAATAAGTCAATGGCAATTCCGTGACTAAGTATCACCCAAAGCTTCCTTGACAAAACAATATAATATGCAAAATACAAATACTGTGGATTAGGTATAGAGAAATGCAATCCATTATTTTCCTTATAAATCAGAAAACTTAGATGTAGAGCCACCTTCATTATTTTCAACACTTTTTACAGATCACTTGATTATAAGAAATCGGGCCTGCTTTTTCATAACAGAATCCACAGAATGGGTTTCATCACCTCTTAAGACCGATACACACATTTTTTAAGTAGACTTTCATTTACTGAGGTCACATATTGCCCCACTTAGGTTTGTATTTAAGCACTCATGCCAAAATATTGTAATTGTTTATTCACTTTCGGGGTGTTTTTTTCACTGATCTGTATGCTTTTAAGGACAGACATAGCACATACATACTATTTTGTCTTTGCTTATGTCTTTATTTACTGGTTTTAGCAAAATAAGTCTCACATGAATAAAAAAATAATTTGCTCTGAAATTCTAAATGTTCTCAAAGAATCACAAAAGAAAAAAAAATGATACTTAACTCTAAATAGCAAAGCATGAGATGATTAAATATTATTATAATTACCTGATTTCTTCTCGAGTCCTACAAAATAATCTTTTGTACTGTGGCCTTGTCTTTCAGATCCATGCAGCTTTTATACCTAATTACAACTGAAGGACTTCATAATAAACTGCTTTATGCTCCTTTTCCTGCTTCTATTCTTCTAGGAACTGCAACTCCACTCTACTTTACACATGCCTTGTAATACACACAGCATATGTCTTTCTTATAAGGGACAAGGAGTTAATGATTTTTCTAGAACAGATAACATCTAAGGAAGGTCCAGGTGAGAATGATGGGAGGAAGCTATCATATGCATTTCCAGACTACAGATGCTAGACATCTCAATGTTAGACATTTTGTCACCAGACATCTAGATGCCAAGGCCCCTTGGCTCCAAAGAATGATACCTGGGCCCCCTTCTTTGTTCTTTTTTTTTAAATTTTATTTTATTGTTATGTTAATCACCATACATCATTAGTTTTGTTTTTGTTTTTGTTTTTAAGATTTTATTTATTTGACAGAGAGAGACACAGCAAGAGGGGGAACACAAGCAGGGGGAATGGGAGAGGGAGAAGCAGGCTTCCCGCTGAGCAGGGAGCCTGATGCGGGGCTCGATCCCAGGACCCCGGGATCATGACCTGAGCCGAAGGCAGACACTTAACGACTGAGCCACCCAGGCGCTCCCATCATTAGTTTTTGATGTAGTGTTCCATGATTCATTGTTTGCATATGACACCCAGTGCTCCATTCAATACGTGCCCTCTTTAATACCCATCACCAGGTTAACCCATCCCCCCACCCCCCTCCCCTCTAGAACCCTCAGTTTGTTTCTCAGAGTCCATAGTCTCTCATGGTTCGTCTCCCCCTCCGATTTCCCCCCCTTTATGTTTCTGTTCCTACTATCTTTTTTTTTTTTTTTTAACGTATAATGTATTATTTGTTTCAGAGGCGCAGGTCTGTGATTCAACAGTCTTACACAATTCACAGTGCTCACCATAGCACATACCCTCCCCAATGTCTATCACCCATCCACCCCATCCCTCCCACCCCCCGCCACTCCAGCAACCCTCAGTTTGTTTCCTGAGATTAAGAATTCCTCATATCAGTGAGAGCATATGATACATGTCTTTGTTCTAAATAGTTCATAGATCCCTGAGGGTATACATACACCAAACCACTGTCCTCAATAAAAACCCTCACACCCTGAATAAAGTCCAGACTCCCTCTTTTCCCTTTCCAAGTCTTCTGGATGCTCAGTGTGTCTGTCTGTCTCTCTATATAGATATCTTCAATAAATTCTGCTTTCACCTCCTGCTGGCTCACGTTTGATTTCCATCCTGTGTGAAACCGAACACCCTCAGGGTCCTCAGACCTGACCTGCTTGCATCAGCTGTCCCTCATGGAGACCAAATCACTAGTCATTATTCCCACTGAACTATCAGAAACGAATTGTTGAAAAATGTGAGGAATAGAAAATGACAACTCCACTAAAAAACTGTCTCTGTTTAGATCACCATTTATGACTCATGTCAATATCAGCAGGAATATTTCTTTAAAAGGAAGCCTAAATTATAAAATCTAAACAGACTAACCATTGAAATTAATATGCTTTGGGTGGTTTTATCAACTTTGGATGCCAATGAAGCAACAAAAGTCACATATTTCTCAAAACCTCTTCTCCATTTGACTTCCCCTATTGACTAACTCAATCAAAAAGAGAAAATAAGCATAATGAGCAAAACCCAACATTAATCTAAATCTTTGTGTCTTATACTTTGTAAAGAAGAGTAGACCTTTCTTCAAGATCTGTAAATAATCCATCAGCTTTTGAAATTGTTGCTACTATAAATGTGTTGATCAATAATAGGAAGAGACCCTGTTAAGTAACATTCAACATTCACTGTACATGTTTTATGTTTGGGAAAGTTTTATACATAAATACACTAAATAAGAATAATACCCATCTTCGTGTGCTCAGTATTGATACGGAATTCTGGTTGAATGCTATAAAACCTTAATTTTTCAAATTTCTAAGATGTTTTAAAAGTAAATTATAGTATAAATGCTATAACTTAAGAAATGGAAGTCTAAAATAATTCAGTTTGAGCCCCTTCTCTTCCATAGATTAGTATATAAGCACTGTTAGCTATAGTAATCAAAACAATATGTCACTGGCATAAAAACAAACACACAGACCAATGGAAGAGAATAAGGACCCCAGAAATAAACCCACACATACACAGTAAGCTAATCTTTGACAAAAGCACCAAAAATACACAATGGGGAGAGGATAGTTTCTTCAATAAATGGTGTTGGGAAAACAATATCCACACGCAAAAGACCAAAATTGTACCCTTACCTCACACCATACAAAAAAATAACTCAAAATGGGTTAAAGACTTAAATACAAGAGCTGAAACCATAAAACTCCCAGAAATCATAAGGAAAAAGCTTCTTAACATTGGTCTTAATGTTTTTTGTTTTTTTTTTTTTTTTTTTTGGATAGGACATCAAAAGCATAGGCAGCAAAAGCAAAATAAACAAACGGGACTACATCAAACTCAAGAAGCTTCTGTACAGCAAAAGAAATCAACAAAAGGAAAAGGCCACCTATGAAATAGGCGAAAATATTTGCAAAATATATATCTGATAAGGGGGTTAATATCATGTAAGGAACGCATACAATTGTTTAATTAAGCAAGAAGGCCCTGAGACTGAGTTGGCTCTAACTCCTCAGTAAGCAAAGCAAAACCTCAGCCTGTAGATGCCTCAAGGTTGCGAAATCAACACCAAGGACAACCAGTCACAAACAGCGTATCAGGCTTTAAGCTACAGCCACTCAAAAACCTCCTCACTTTGCTTCCGCCCTTTCTCTATAAAAGCCTCTCACCAAGCTCCTGTGGGTGGGGCGTTCTTAAGCATGTCCAACTTGGGCCGGCCCAACTTTCATCCATTTTCGCTCACGCAAACTCTCAGAATGCTTGCTGTGCCTCGGTTTCTCTCTTGACAGCTCTGGCGTCGGGAGAACAAACCCAAGCAGACGCCCGACAACCCCCAGGAGCAAAGGAGCAAGCGGGTGAAGGTACCTGTCGAGCCTGCACGTAGCTCACGGCTTTCTCGCTGCCTCCGGAGGTCCTGGGTAGGTCCCTCCTGCGTCCCGGATCCCTGCTCAGCAGCTCCTCCATTAGGAGCCTTCAGACTTGACTTGAGATTTTTTTTTTTTTTTTCCCTCTCCCCCTGGACCGGGTTGGGAAACCAAGTGGTCTGGCCGACGCGGTCCGAGTTAAAAACCGGCCCGGGTGCGGGTCCGACTTAGAAACCGGACTGCGTCCGCTGTCGAACTGGGTCCGACTTAGAAACCAGAGGGGCAGGGGCACCCGGGGCCGACTTAGAAAGCGGACCAGTCCACAGTCGGAATGGGTCCGATTGATTGATTGACATTTATAAGACTTTTTATTTATTTGAGAGAGAGAGCACAACCAGGCAGAGGAAGAAACCGACTCACTGCTGAGCTTCGGATTCGATTTCTTTCGTGGTTATCCTGTTACCCTTCTAGTTTGCTTTAAGAATTTTACTTGTTTGGGGCGCCTGGGTGGCTCAGTCGGTTAAGCAACTGCCTTCGGCTCAGGTCCTGATCCCGGGGTCCTGGGATCGAGCCCCACATCGGGCTCCCTGCTCAGTGGGGAGCCTGCTTCTCCCTCTCCCTCTCCCCCTGCTTGTGTTCCTGCTCTCGCTGTCTCTGTCTCTGTCAAATAAATAAATAAATAAAATCTTTAAAAAAAAAAAAAAAAGAATTTTACTTGTTTGACACACAGTGGGCACACACACGAACAGGGGGAGGGGCAGGGAGAGGGAGAAGCAGGCTCCCCGCCGAGCAGGGAGCCCGATGCGGGGCTCGATCCCGGGACCCCGGGGTCACGACCCCCCGGAAGGCGCTGAACCGACTGAGCCACCCAGGCGCCCCGGAACGAGTCGGATCTAGAAACAGGGCTGAAGCCAGGGTGAGGTCTCAGGTGAGTAAGGTTATCTAACAAGGCTCAAGAGCAGATTAACCTACCAAAGATAATCTTGAATTGCAGGGGCCACAGCTGAGAATTTTTAACCATCAGAGATAAGCGCATCCATTAGGAGGTGCCTAGAGAAAAACAAGCCTCACTTAGGCGCTCACCATAGAGGGAAAATTATTTGTCCTCCTCTACAGTTTCTGGCGACCCAGATGGGACCTGCTGGGACACCCGACTTGCTCTGGAGCCTGCAGACGGATCCTGGGAAAACTGGCGGAATCCTGTGAAAGGTAAGAATTCTTAGGAAAGTCAGCTCTCCCAGATCTCCACCTGTGGTGCCTGGTGGACAAAGAATGATAAAATTTCACACTGCCCCTTCCTTTCCAAACTCAGATCGGCAGGAGAAAATATTGGCTATCGATCCTTTCTCTCCCAGGGATAGCTGTTGCTTCTTCTTTGTCTCATATTGTTTCCTGAGAACCTGGCTTGGCCACTGTCAGGTTAGGGGACGGAAAATATAGCCAAACAGAAATGTGGTTGCACCCTATTTGTGGCTAGATATGGCTGAACAGAAATGTGGCTTACACTCCATTTGGGGTTTGAGTTCTGTGGACTATGCCAGATTGCAGAAGAATTGTCTGTCTTCCTTTCTTTGGTTATCTTAAGAGTTGCCTGGAATTTGGGAGAGTAGTAACCTTTTAACCCTTTTTGGGGACCCCTTTTGTGCCCATGGTTTTTTGTTTTGTTTTGTTTTGTTTTGTTTTTTACTGCCAGGAATATTTACTATTTGTCTAGGCTGACACCTAACAGGATACTTGAACTTTGTTATTGTCATTGTTTAAAAGTAGCTCTATGGTGAGAAACTGACCAAATTGGAAGGTGGTATTCAGTCTGATAGGAGCTTATTATTTATTTTTTATTGAGGCTTAATTGACATATAACATTGTATTAGTTTCAGGTGTACCATGTAATGATTCACTATTTATACACCCTAAGAAATGATCACAAGTCTGGTTAACATCCACCATGTAGTCACATTTTTTTTTCTTGCGATGGGAGCTTTTAAGATTTACTCCCTTAGCAACTTCAGATATGCAATTCATGCTATCAATGACATCCCTGTGATTTATTTGTGTTATAACTGGAAGTTTGTACCTTTTGACCCCCTGCACCCATTTTGCCCATCCTCTAATCCCCTCACATCTGACAACCACCAATCTGTTCCCTGTATCTATGTTTGATTTTGTTTTGTTTTGTTCATTTGTTTTAATATGTAGATTACACATCGAAGTGAACTCATATGGTATTTGTCTTTCTCTGACTGATTTCACTTTGCATAATACCTTCAAGATCCATCCATGTTGTCCCCAATGGCAATATTTAATTGTTTCTTATGGCTGAGTAATATTTTATGAGATATATATATATATATCACATCTTCTTTATCCATTCATCCATCAATGGACACTTAAGTTGTTTCCATATCTTGGCTATTGTAAACAAATGCTTCAATGAACATAGTGGTATATGTATCTTTTCTAATTAGTGTTATCATTTATTTATTTTTTTTTAAGATTTTATTTATTTATTTGAGAGAGAATGAGATAGAGAGCATGAGAGGGGGGAGGGTCAGAGGGAGAAGCAGACTCCCTGCTGAGCAGGGAGCCCGATGCGAGACTCCATCCTGGGACTCTAGGATCATGACCTGAGCCAAAGGCAGTCACCCAACCAACTGAGCCACCCAGGCGCCCCTATCATTTTTTTAGATAAATACTCAGAAGTGGCATTGCTGGATTATATTTTTCTATTTTTAAATAAAATAAAAGGACTAAAATAAAAAACAAAAACTAGATTAAGTTTATTGATTAAAGACAGGCATGCCTTTAGAGTTATCATCATTAAATATAATATTTTCATTTTACCTAGGTTTGCCGAATGTCAAATAGGCTCATGTTATTGGTGCAGGCCCTATCAAAAATATTATGGAGGCTCCTCAAAAAATTTTTAAAAAAAGGACTACCGTATAATCCAGCAATCCCACTTCTGGGTATATATACAAAGAAATAAAATCAGTATACTGAAGAATATTTCCATGCTTGTGTTAAGTGCAACATTATTCAGAATAGCCAAGATATGGAAACAACCTAAGGGTCTATCAATAGATAAATGAATAAAATGAAAATAAAACACACACACACACTAGGCAGCTCTTCCATATATTAGTATGTAAATGCCAAATGAAAGTCAAATATCTCTGAACTTCAATTTTCTTCTTTCAGCCATATATGTATAAATATTAAACATGTATTTTGGGTCAAGTATCTAATAGTTGAAACAGATAGAAAGATGTATAGGAAAGATATGTTCTCCAGTCTTAATCAAACCAAAACCCAATGCAGCAATCACTTTATTTCTTTCAAAGTATCTGAACAAATTTAACTTTATGAATTACTAATTTTAATTTCAGTTTTTAATTATTTAAATATTTTATGATGTTATTTCAAATATATCATACTCTTTCTAAGGAGAGTTACACATAGCTAACGATATAAACATTTCCCCATTATTTGACAATCAGTGGAAAGGATATTTGTTATGACATTATCATTACCCCATTAAAATTTTTTGTACTTGGTCTTTTAATACTTTGCCTGCCTGGAAGAAAAACATCAAAACATACTTGGGGTTAAAATTTCTAGGCAGAATAGAAAAATGCTAAAATATTTGATGTGAATGTTTAATTTTTAGAGAATCTTTGCAATCTAGGTTAGAACTATCTGTGCTTGAATTTAATGTTGACTTGATCAGCTCTGTGAGAGTAAAAACTAAAGCTGATATTAATTTTTGTTAATTTCTCTTACACAGACAATTCATAGATTTTAAGAAAAATCTATTACAGTTATTTTATAAGCATTTTATCCCCCCCTTGTACACAGCTTAAAATTTCCAAAGCTGTATTTAACATACATTTTATAACTGTTTTATTTTTTTATTTTTATTTTTTTTTTAAAGATTTTATTTATTTATTTGAGAGAGAGAGAGTGAGAGAGCATGAGAGAGGAGAGGGTCAGAGGGAGAAGCAGACTCCCCACTGAGCAGGGAGCCCAATGTGGGACTCGATCCTGAGACTCCAGGATCACGACCTGAGCTGAAGGCAGTCGCCCAACCGAGCCACCCAGGCGCCCTATAACTGTTTTAGTTTATAGAGGTTGAGAAGAGAATATTTTATCTGCACTTGGAAACCAGGGAAAATTTTTATAGCATTAATGACATTAATGAGTTGAGACTTAGAGGAATACATGCTTACCTGATTATCTCATCATGGAATTTTCACTATTTGCATTTGTTTCTGGTCAATTTCTGCTGTCTATGGTATCGAGAAACCTTATAGCCGGTAATGGCATGCAGTGATTCTATACTGATCCAGAAAATCTGATCCAGAGTTTCCTTTGTCAGCATTTCAGAGCCAGGGGTATCTCTTAATCTTTGTCCTGCATGGGCCCAAGCAATTCAAGTAAGTTTGCCTTTATTTTATCAGGGCTTAATCAAAAATTGAAAATTATTTTCATCTTCTGCCTGCCAGTTCTCAGAGCACAAGATCTTTATAAAAAAATGAGTTGTCTAATGCTTCATTTCTCTGTTTTTATGTGTTATAACATTAATCCATGCAAATGCTGGTATTTCAAAATGTAAAATTCTCCTTTAATTCTGCTTGGTGAAATACTGGAGATAAAGAATCTTGGTTGGGGAGGAGAGCAGAAATAAGAACCTTGTTTATATCAAGTGCTATCTGAGATACTCTCTTTAGTTTCTCAAAAATCTTTCCCTCTACATTTGTTTCTTTTTTCATTGTCAGATACCTATGAAGCTGAAGTTGAGTTTAAAAGTTTTTAATAGATTTATTGCAAACTTAAATGTTTATTAAAAGCTTCAGATCAGAGGCATCTGGGTGGCTCCACCAGTTAAACTTCTGCCTTCGGCTCAGGTCATGATCTCAGGGTCCTGGCATCCCTACCCAGGGAGGAGTCTGCTTCTCCCTCTGCCTCTGCGCCCCCCCCCCCACCCATGCACGTGTGTGTGCTCTCTCTCTCTCTCAGATAAATAAATAAAATCTTAAAAAGAATAAATAAAAGCCTCGGGCGCCTGGGTGGCTCAGTTGGTTAAGCGACTGCCTTCGGCTCGGGTCAGGATCCTGGACTCCCGGGATC